GCATGGAGCTCAACGAGAGGCAGCACCGGGGCTGTGCACTGACAGGATGGTGGGTTTGGGGGTCTGCCAGCAGTGGGGAGAAGGTTTGGGAGCCTTTTCTGAGCCCTGACTTGACTACGTTTCTTTTCAGAGTAATGCAAGCCATTCATCATTGATTAGATGGGATACTATGAAAGAGCCCTTCCTTCTCGCCATCGGTAATGAAAGTGGTTGTTTATGGCTTTGGGGTTAGCTGGGGACTTTTTAGAGGGATTCTGCTGGGAAACAAGAGAAAACAAACAAGCCAGAACCAGCGGCACACAAAATTCCTCTTTCTGCAGCTTCAGAAGGGTTTTGTTTTGGTGGGAACAGAGTGATAACCTCGGCTTGGGAGTCCTTATAATGAATGGAAGGGTAAAGGAGCTCCCGGTCCCTGCCAAGCGCCGGTGGGAACAGGCCTAGGGGGAATTAACCGGGAAGTCTCTGCCGGCTTTATCCAAAGCCTGTTGAACTGACTGACCACCTTCCGGGTGAGCTGGGGTCCTTGGATCTCTGGGAACCTCCGCCTCCCTTGGCACTACTTAAATCACCGGGACACGGCGAGGTGTTAATGTGCATCGTTGAAGTTACCTGCTACTCTGCTGTTAAGCTGCCATTCATTCGAGAAGTTTAGAGGGTCTTTAAGGAATTGCTTGAGGCAGCTTTGAAGACATTTCTCCTGGGGGAAACATCGAATGTTTTGGGAAGACGGAGTGGCAAATGCAGAGCTCCAGAGGCATCTAGGAACCGGAGTGTCCCTAGGGAGCAGGGCAAGGAGGCGGCTCGCACCCTGCAGGACAGGCAGGGACATAGGTGGGAGATATTCCTTGGAAGGACAGAGCCTCACCACGGAGCAGAGGCCGCAGACGTCTACCTTCCAAAAGAACACGCCACTTTCCATATCCCTCTCCTTTTTATTTCCCTTCCTCATGGCTGACCAGAAGCCAGGTAGCTCAGCTATTTCTCTTTGAAGCTGCATTTCTTGTTGGTTGAACCGACTGTTCCGAAAGCAGCATCGCATCTGACTGACACCTGGGCTGCAGGTGGCAGGGACAGTTTTCTGTGTCTCTCTCTTCAGTCCTGTTTCTGTTTCTCTATCCTTTCTTCTTTCTGAAGAATGATGAGTTTTTTTTCCCCCCTCCAATTTGTACCCTACCCCTCAATTTATTTTCCTCTGCTTGTTGATAATCTTAAATCCATCCTCTGCCTCAGTAATCTCAGTTGGGAGTAAAAAACAACCAAGTGTGGAGGGAAGCATCATGTTCTAGATTCTTGCACACCCGGGCTGTGCATTTTTGCCTTGTAATACTGCACTTCCACAAACAATCAAAAGCGACAATTTTTTGAGCACAACTTGTGTTGAGGCAAGCGGCGGCATTCCACAGCATCCTTAGTGTGAAGCACTGCTCCGGGATGAGAAGGGAGGTGCTTTAATGCCTTTTAAAACTATCTGAGTGAGGGCCGGGCCCGTGAGGGATTGAGGGAAGCAGGATTTAGGCTGATTTCCACCAGCTGGGTAAGCAACACTAGTGGGACCTGGAGGGCTGGATAAAACACATTACACTCTGCAGCTCCTTATTTTTGTGCCACATCCCAGAGCGTGTAAGTGTGTAAATAACCCTCAGCAGGCTTCCAGGCGCTGTCCCGTTCTAGCGGCTCTGCCTCTTCTCCCCGCCCGGCCACCGCCCACCTGCGCGCTGCCCCCGGTAGATGGAGCATCCTCATCGCTTTTCGCCCGAAGCCCTCAGAAATGTTGGTCTTTCCCTCATAAGTCCCACTGTTCAGGCAGAGGGGTGGTTTGGGGGGCACAGGCGCCCCACCGATGTGTCCCTGAGGGAGCGGAGCGATAAACCCGCCCGGCCGGCGCTGCGGTTGTTCCGCTGGGTGAAGGGGCACAGCCCCTGCTCCCGACGGCCGAAGCCGCTCCGGGCTTGCCCGACTACCCCGACTCTCACTGTCCCCGGCACGGAGCGCGGCGGGCAGGTGGCGCCTGCCGCCCTCTCGGCACCTTTCGGGGGGCTGAGGTGCCCCGGGAGGCGGGGGCTGCCCCGCGGGGCGCGGCCGGCGCTGAGGGGCAGCGGTTGGTGGTGAGGGGGGTTTTGGCCCCTTCGTCGTTGGGTGAGTCTCTGGAGGCTCCTCGCCCTTTCCCTTTTGGCAGCGCCCGAGACCATGCGGAGCCGTCGCGTTCTGGTCGCTTTCCCAGTGCTGGTGGCTCCCCAAAGGCAGAGGGTCCCCTGAGCGCCCCGGCCGCGCTCTCCGTCCGCCCTGAGGGACTCGAGCCCCGGTTCTCACGCCGCCATTTTGTGGCGCTCCTCTCCAGCCCCTGCGGTGTCCCACGGGATGGGGGTTTCCCCCAGGTTTTTCTCTTTTGACAAAAACAGTTTTAATTTTTAAATTCCAAGACTTTAGGGAATCATCTCCAGTAAAAGCTTTTTGTAAAGCTTTTTGTTTGGTGTGTCCTAAGTAAATGGTGTCAATCCAATGGGTTCTTGGTTCAGGTCTCCTCACGGGGTTCAGGTCTTCTTCAGGGTTTCCTAAAACTGGGGTAAAAGAAGAGCAGGGGAGCATAAAAACACCACGAGAGACACATTTTTATTTTATCAACAGAGATAAAAAGTCACAAAAGGTAAACTCTTCTAAATTTCAAGAAGATTCAAACAACCAGTCCCTTTACAGTCATAAACAGTAATGAATATCACGCGAGAAGCACGGGTTTATTCTCAAAAGAGCCTCCCTAAAATAAAAATTATTCATATAGAGCCAACTGGAGTTAATACTGTTTCACAGCCTACAGCTGGTAGAACCGAGATGTGGATTTTAAGGAAGATACTTACCTCACAGATTATGGGTATTTTCCACCTTTTAATGAAGTACCTGGCTGTTGCCAGATGAGTTATTGAGAAGTGGCATTATTAATGTTAGTGCTATAATGGCTTGAGACCACATCAGGCAAGTTTGCTTGTGTGTTCTGCACCCAATACAATCTTCTAACAGATGAAACTTAATTACATTAATGTGCAAAAATGCAAAATGCATAACAACACTTTTCTCCTGGCAGCATTCTGAATAGCCCCATTAGAAAGTACAAATGCAGTCTGAAGCTGGTTTACCCAGTCGCGTGTGTTACATATTTATCTTTAACAAAAATATCAGCCACATAGGAGAATTTCCTCTGAATTAGCCAACATCCTGAGTTGGCTGATGGTTTGATGCTGCTTTTCTGCAGTATGTCCAAGAATCAATCTTTGCTACAGTCATATCCTGCAAGACATCAGATGTCAAAAGTTTGTTGCAGGCTGGTGTTTTAAAAATCTGCAAACACCATGTTTATTATCTGTGCCATTGAATTTCTCAGCGTTTTCTACTAGTGACACCTGTATCCTCATAATTCACAGCACAGAATAGCATTTGACATTTGCAGTTACACCACTTCTTTTTAACAATACCGGAAAAATAAATATTTTACAGATGCATGCTTTCAGAAGCACTATTTTCTGCAACTTTACCCTTTTCATACATTTTATTGTAAGAGTACAGTAAAAGAAAATAAACACTTTAGTTCTCTCTACAAAAACATTAGTACTCTTCTACAAAAATATTCAAAAGGTTAAATTATTTGTATTTTTTTGGTGATAATACAGTAGTCTCTATCTTAACAATATACAGCTGTACAGTTTGCTGTATTGATGAACTTTGTGCTGCAGTTTATAAAGCAGTAAATAAAATTTCTTTACCCCAGTATCTTACAGTTTTTATGGGAAAATTCAGAAAACCAGCTAATAAACACTATTAAATTGTTTCTTGAAAACACCTTTTTAATACATGCTCCAAATAATTTTTTTATAGTAAGAAATTACTTTTTTTTCCACAAAAATATTCTGCCTTGATCTGTGGCTTTAGGTAGTATTTTCTAGTATTTTTTTTAGTATTTTCAGCTGATTTTTCAATTTGCTACCTTAAGTGTTTTCAGTCGCCAGGATTTCAATCCTTTAAATACATTTGGTAAAACTGTTATCTCTTTCTTGGAGTTTTTACCGCAGCCTGTGCTAATCCAGTCCCCTGGATTAGGTGTTCTGATCCTCCCTTAACTATGAGACAAATTAATTTCTGTCAAACACCCAGCATTTAAACTCTGCCTCCGCCCCACAGCCCCAGTGCTGCAGGATGTAGCCTTAATGCCACTTGAGTCAAATTCTGCATTGTTTTCTATTCCTTTTGATCCTGGATTAGGATCTCATCCTCAGCACCGGTTTGTCGTGGCTTTGCTCCTCTGGCGGTGTGATGAGGGACACTGTGGCACAGTTAAAGCCCGGCCAACCTCGCTCCCCGTTACTGCACCTGAGCTGACGAGCTGTGGCCGGAGCCTCCTGATGAGCGGTGTTTGCAGCCCTTTTAGAGATCGCCATCACCCCCCAGCTCTAAAAACCGGATTTCTGCACATAGCAGCACGGTACAAACAGAAGAAAGGATTTATAACAGCCCGTTTTCCATTTAGTGAGAATTCTGCCTTTAATCACACCTAGCATGCCCACACCTCTGGTTTAAATGGACTTGGGGGTTGTACAGGAGGAGTGTGCAGGATGCTGAAGGAGCTTTTCCATCAGCAGCACAGCAGTCCGTAGGCTTAGTAACCAGCGGGAGTACAGGCTACACATCTAGTACACAAACATCCCTCCTTGCATTCTTCAGTGCCTTCTGAGAGCATTAAACATCTCAAATAGAACTGCTGCAGGAGCAACGCTTTACCTGAATGATAAATGTCCTTTTCCCTAACTGTGCTTTAGACTCTTACAAGTCACTTACCACCATTAGTGAGAAAATTGGTTCCACTAGATAGTAATTAAAATGCGGTTAAAGCTACTTTACTCCCTTTTATGTGAAAATGTGTGGTATTGTCTTGCAATTTTGACTTGTTTATTGTATCAACAAGGTTTTTGACTGTGTAAATCCTTGAATTGCATTTTTCTTTTGAAGTTTAAGCAATGAGCGACAAGGTTTCGATCAACTTGGACAAAATTCTGGTCAAGCTAGGTAGGTCATTATATCATACATTTTTTATTAACAATTACTAATCCACTGCACTCAGTGATATTTTCCGCTTTAAACAATTATATTAACTTCAAATAAATGTATTATATTAAGCTTTTGTTCTTTGCCTACATAATGTTAGCTGGGAGGTTGTGGAGAGGAGTAAACTATTTGTAATAGTAAAATTTCTATTTAGATATTTTGCTGAAATAGTTGTTAATCAGAGTTTGTGCAATTAATGCTGCACAACATATGTTTGTTTCATAGCTCCACTCATACATATGTATATAATGAAGGGTTAATTTTCTTTTTAAGCTTCCCAGATAGAAAAAAATCGCAGCGCTAAGGAACATGTGGATCATCAGATAAATTGTGAGTAATGATCAATTATCATTTTACTGGATGCTGAACACTGATTTGGTTTTGTTAATCCTGGGACATGCTCTGTGTCTCGGGGGCGGAAGCAGGATAAACAATGGAAGCTGTCCCGTGTCCTGCTCTCACCCTGCCTCATCTTTAGCCATCAATTCTTGCTCATTCTCCCCAGCAGACTTTGCTTTTGCTCGCCACTTTTAGCTGAGGCTGCTCAGCTGCCTCATGGACAGCCAGTTTCATGCTGCGCCATTTCCTGCTCTGACTCTGCAGCTCCTCACAGTCACTGGCAGCCCTTTGATTCAGCTGTGCTTGCTCAATGCATCTGCCACTTGCCTCCCTTTCTTTCTTCATGTTTTTTGTTCTTTCCAGATTTGGACCTCTGCCTCACTGCATCTTCTCTCTTTCTGTTTTCTGGAAATAATGAAAGTTCTCTCAGTTGCTGCTACGTACTCAAGCCTTGTTCTTCTTTTTTTGCAATCAAGCAGCTGGTTGCTTTATTTGAAATTCAAAACAGTAAACCCAAAGTCTTGCTCTGCATCAAATTTGCTCTCTCCCAGGGTTTACAGACAACACAATACTATGGACTTACGTCTGGACTGATTTTTTTAACCATACTGCTATGTGGGATCACTTCATGAAGTCTGAAGAATAGTTTCTCTACCACATCTGTGCTCACCTCTGGTACTTCATAGGTAGATATTCAAGCACATAACCTCCATTAAAAAAAAAAAAAAGCAGAAGAGAAAATTCTGGTCTAATTGGTGTTCTTTTTGATTATAACATTTCTAATAATTTTCACTGATATGTCCAAGCAAGTAATTATTCATTAAGAAGATTATCACAATTCAACTGAAACACCTTAAACATGAAAACATCTGTACCACTAAATCTGGCACACCTCGGATTCTGGTTTAACTCTCCAGTCACACAACTGAACCTCAGAGATAAGGTTTTTATTAACATTTATGCAGGCTTAGGGTAAATGCTCTTAGGGAAAATCCAAGGGCTGTGTAGTAACATGGCATAGCTGCTTTTGTGTTCAGAGATACCTAAATATGTGTAAACACACAGCCAACACTCAGGCTTTTAGCAGTTTGGGTTAAGCCTTCCAAAAACTTAGCAAAAAATAGTACCACTGATGTAATTTTGTGTCTGTGTGAGTATTACTTGGCAGATGAACAGCTGTAGCATTCAGCCTTGGACTTTTGGTGTGAGATTCATCAGGCTATTTGGCTACAGTCTCTTTCTCACCAGTGGAGGGAAACTGGCACTTTTAGGATGTGATTTACCTCATCCTGAAGAAACAGTTTAAAGTGGGTTAGATAAAGTAAACTTTAAAAGTGTCAGCTTGTCTGGGCTGGGTGTAGCTGCAGCCATGGTGTGCTGTTCTGAAGAAGGTCCCTGCACTGTGGGGTGAGATGGATCTCACCCACCAGGTCCTTGTGGAAGCACAGGGGGAGTTGAACAGCTCACAGAAGTGCTTATCTGTAAAAAGTACTAAATGAGATGTGAAATGTATATTTTGTTGATTATGTTATGTTACATTTTGGTAAATCTCAAAAAGTTGTCTACACTGTTCTGCCATACTCAGCTGTTTATTTGCAGAAATGAAAACATGTCAATATTTATACTTTACTCTAAGTAAAGGCAAATTATTGACTTTAGATATTGAAAATATTAAGGGACTGAAGATAACCCAAGGATAACCCAAGATATTAAATTACATTGGGAAATTTTTACTTTTCACTGACTGGCATTTCTCTGTGAGAAGTGGTTTATTTTCTGCTAAAAATGCAGATGCTGTGGAAAATTAATATATAACAAGTAGTGCAAAACCAGAGCCAAAGTCCAGGATGAACTGAAGCTCCAGAGCAGTAATTCCAACAAGTCAAGACCCACGTTGCATCACTAAGATGCTTTCCCAGTGGAGGAGAGGAGAAAAGGGCAGGATGTGATTGACTTCTGTGTAGGGCCACCTGCTCTGGCATTTAGTGCTTCAGGGCAGCAGTGACAGCAAGGGGTGATTTAGGACTGATTAATCTGAAATCTTGCATAGAAAAAAAAAAGAATTAAAAAATGCAGAGAAAAAGCATTCACCAAGTTGTGCCTATTGCATTGCAAGGTGAGCATGCATGAGAGCTCTCACAGCTTTTACTTGTGAAGAGAACACTGGTCATGTGCAACAACATGGATTCTCTCTAGCCACTCATTCAGAAAGTGTTATCAGCTGTCTGCTGTCAGAAGAGGCTGACAATAAAGAGCTTGCCTTAAGAATCTCCACAAATATCCTAGTCCCTGAGAACCTGTTATTATAAAGCACTCTTTAATTAATTAACCTGTGTCCTATATTAGTTTATCAGAGATTGCATATTCCTACATTGAGTAAAATTCCTTTTTATTTTTTCTCTTTCTCTTTCTCTTTCTCTTTCTCTTTCTCTTTCTCTTTCTCTTTCTCTTTCTCTTTCTCTTTCTCTTTCTCTTTCTCTTTCTCTTTTCCACTAATTGCTTATATACCTTTCGTGATGTTTTTATTTTTCTTTTATTGTAGTCAGCTTCCCCACTCAGAATATTTAACATTCTGGGCTTCTGCAAAAGAATACAAATGTTTGAAAGAGGGTCCTGGCTCTAGAGAGTGAGTGAGCAGTGCATGGTTTGGAGTGTTTCAGTGGGAACACCGAACTGGGGCATACCACTAACAGTTACTTCTGTAACAGTTCTATACAGTCTGGGATTCAGAAACAGCACAAATCATGGCAGTCTCACAATATTAGATGATAATTAAGGTACTCACCACACAGCTGAAAATCCCTATGTTTTGTCTCACTTTGTTGTTACCTTCCTGCTTAACTGCAGGCTGTCCACTCACCTGGAATTATGGAGGTTAAGTTTTTTGGAAAGAATCAATATAAATGTAGACTCATTTTTTCATGGATTTGTTGAAAGTGCATTCATATACCTTTAAATTTATTTTTAATTTCAGTGTGCACAGAAAAAATCACAGAAAAGAAGAATCAGATTGCTTGGTTGGAGGAAAATATAAAAAAAGGCAATGAGGCACTTGCTGATTTGCAGAAGCAGAATGAAAGCAGCAAGAAGCACTGTGATGCGTGAGTATGAGAGAGCCTGAGCTCTGAGCAGTGCCTGCCACTAAGGAAATCAGTGAGGAAGGAAGGGAAAAATAAGTGTGGGTGTGTTCTGTACTAAAGAATACTTTAGTATTCTGGTTTTTTAAACTGCAAATCTTTAGGTATAAAAATTACAGTGTTACCCATCGGCTGAAAAAGAATTATAGAAAAGCAGACTACATTTAATTTTGTGGTTTTTTTTAATTAAAATCTCCAGTTTCCAGAAGATCACAAGTACTATCTTTGCAGCACGCTAAAGTCTTAATGTAGTAAGGTAATAGAAGCAAATTTTTCTACACTTGGATGCATCTGACTTTTGTCAAATTTGACCAGTATTAAGAATGCTGTTAAAAAAAGTCTTCCTAAAATTGAAAATATTTCTATTCTTTCTTCACAACATGTTTTAAGTTACTTTTTGTCCTATACTTATTTTTACACAAGATGTGCCCTAACTGCCTCTCCATACACACATGTGTGTTTCTGCTGGCAGATTCCAGTATCAGTTTTGCTCCAGACTGCAAAATTTGTCTTCTGGGCATAATGTTTTGATGAATGCAATGGGCTGCTGTTCACAGTTTTCCTTACATAAATGTTTGTATCAGATAATTAGTTCAAGTTTTAAATGCTGATCACTTTTGGATCTTAGTAATTAGAAGCTTTTCAAGACACAATTTAGCTACAAGGAGTTTTATCTTCCTGACATGTAATTTTTAAAAATTAAAACCTCAGGTGTTTGCTAGGGTATCTGAAAAGGCAAATCTGTATTTGACAATACAGAGAGTTTGTCCCAGGTGATAAAATCCACCAGAGTTTTCCATTTCTCCACAATCTGACTAGCTCCTCAGAAGCTGGAGTGAGGATTTGTTGGCAAATTCTGTTTTGTTTTCTTACAATTCTCTATCTAAAGGCAAGTATTTCAATAAAAATATATATGACATACATTTGAATTTTTTTCTTTTTTTTTTTGCAATGTGAATGGGGAGTGTGGGTGTTTCTGAGAATAGAGAGAAGTGAAGATTGCATTGGGGTTCCTTTCTAGGATTATTTTGAATTCTCAGAGAGAAAAAGAAAGAATGAAATCATTAGTGAATAAAGTGGGTGTAGTGGCTGGCTTATTTGAATGAATTGCCATTCAATACTGATTTGTAGCTTTACCATTAAATGAGTTGGGAAAAGGTCTGACCTTGGTAAAAAATATCCAATCTTTCCATTACATTAAGTTTTTGCCTCCAATGTAGTATAAAATGAACACTTACACAAGTTTATGAAACTATCCACACTGCTTCCTTTGATATCTTTTTGAGGCTGCAAATCTGTTTGCAAATGACAAACTGTTAAGTGATGCAAATGAAGGAGTAAAAAATTAAGGGTAGAACTAAGGATCTGATCTAAATTTTAATCATTGAATTCAATGGGTTTTGGCTCAAGTCCTACAAAGAATAATTAATGGCATTAGTGTAAAGAGACTGAAAATGAGAAGTGACTCATTAATGAATACATGTATTCATAGAAGGACAATGCTTGCAGAAGAGTAGAGACTTTGTGTCTTAAATTATTGGAAATGTCATTTAACGACAGACTGAAAATTGCAATAAACAAGCCCTGGCTATAAGATCAGACAATTAGAGCACTTACACAGTAGAATCACCCCAAACTTCTAAAATTTATTCTAGTTGACACTCCATCTATACTGGACATGATTCTAATGTTGGTTTTGTAAATTCAGATTCTGTTTTGGAGTCACAATCACCCTCACAGCTGACTAATTGCCAGTGATAGAGCTCAATAGAGCTCTCAGAGAAATGATGTTTTGTCTGGGATACAAGAAGACTTGAACAAAATACAAGGTTCTTATATTCAGCAAATCTAGAAAAAATATGATTTATGGGATAGATGTATTGGGATAATACTGTGTTTTCTGAAGAAATCCATATTGGTCTCTGTAAAAAAGACCTGAAGGCAGAAAATGACCCAAATGAAACATATTTTTAGACAAGTGATGACATTTCGCTAATATTTAGTTTCTTGAAGGATTCAAACTAGAAATGTTGATCCCAGAGCAGTAAGAAGGGATGAAATGCTGCTGATGTGACCTATTCCAATTTTATTGTTTCTCTTACAATTTTTAAATTTGGATGAAAGGATGCTGGGATTTAATAGAAATAGAAGATAATTTTAAAAAAGCCACATGAATTCAAAATGTTGTTAGTTAGGAAAAGAAATTGTTGTCTTGTCCCCAGACAAACTGCAGGATAATTTTATTGCTTTCAGAGTAGAGTGGTTAAAGATCTTTTCTATTCCCTGGCTGATGAAAGGAGGGACAAATAAATGTGATGGCTACCAAGGACATCCATAATCCATAGTGATGCATTTTGCAAACAAGTAAATGAGCTGCTTGAATCCTGCATGCCTGGTTGTGTTAACAAACCACTGTTCTTGTACCATGTTTTTTCCATGTCCACACAATAGATGTGAACAAAAAATGTAACTCACAGCATGGCTTGTGCTCTTATTAATAAAATCTCTATGAATTTTACATCTCAGGTTTTTTTTCCTCCAAGGAAAGTAATGGAGTTTTTTGAGTAAAAGAACACAACAGTGTCTGGTGTGCAAGCACTTTTTTATATAAATATGTTGGTTTCTGCTTTTGAAAAAATCTGACCCTTTTGAAATTCAGCTTTCTGCTGAATTTGCAGGAGATATGGTGAAGTAACATTTTGTAGTTCCACTTTTAATCACCAGTGGTGTCCAACAATTTGTGCCAGGAGTGCTGGATGGTTCATGCTTTTTATACTTTTTTTTTCCAGACAGGATTCATTCTTTTCAAAAACTTTAATATCCCTCTCCTAAATATCCCATCTGAATTTCACTTGAATCACAAAGTCTCTCTGCCTTTTTTCTGGTATTGCCATATCCAAGGCAGAGGTATCTCTAATGCCTGGATGTTGAGAAAGTCCTGCTCTTTCATAAGTCATAAGAATTCTGTGAAGCTGCTCTGCTCTCAGTGCCATCTACAGCATCCTGCTGCAGGAAAGTCACTTTGATGCCGTCTGAGTAGGACTTGCTTAGCAAATGGAGGAAATTCTGAGTTTGTAACTGCTTCTTGCATTTAGGTGTGAGATAAATGCTGGTGATACTGGTGAGAATGAAGTTGTGGGTGTCTCCAAGAAGAAGATTCAACATATCTAAAGGATTTATTGATGGTGATGTGTTGAGGACATAAAGCGTGGATTTAGATGCCTCATAACTTAGCATTAGCTCCAAAAATTTGTGAAGCTCATTCTATTAATTTCTTAAATAGTGCTTTGTAATGTTTCTTAATCCTAAATAAAGATGTATTTTCTTTTTTTCTTGAATTTGCAGGTTTAAAATATTAACAGAATAGATGTATGCCTGCAAAAGATTTCTGTACTAAATCCATTTATGTTTAACTTTCAAAAAATTAATTAATCACTTGTAAGCTAGCTAAAGTAACTAGATGTCTTCTTTTCTAAATGCTTTTTACTAAGAAAGATCACTAATATGTTTTTTTTTTTTTTTGTTTACTTTGTCCACAGCTGGAAGCCCACCTATACAATTCTTAAAAAGCATGGAGAATATTTGAAAAATGAAATGAAAGCTTTAGAGGAAGCTACAGAATGTGAGAGGTATCTATGATCACAAGAGATGAGGTTTCCAGCAGTAGTACTGACTAAACTGATCAGGAAAACTAGTGCTGTCTGCAGGAAAAAATCATTGCAAACTTTTCAGTTTATAGTCACTTACGAGTGACTGAATAATGGAAAGAATTTTTGTTTACATTACTGTGAGATCATGCATTATTTTGTATGATAAAATATGAATTCTTGAAACAAAGTTGCTTCCCAAATGCCTATTACAATTTTTCAGAACATTGTATGGTTGCCTACTGTTTCAAGAAAGCCCAATAAATAAAAACAATTAATGTTTCAGGTAACAGAAACATTCAGACAATTTTATGCTTTTCCTTATTTTTAAATATGAATTGCATAGGATTATTAGAATATACAAATCAAGTTTTTGTATACTGCTGTGTATTCTTCAAAAAAATCACAAAGCATGCCAATTCAGTCTAAGGTGCTGGAAAATGAGTAAGTGGCTCAGAAGAACTTGGTCTAAAACCATTTTAAGACTAGTTGTGGGCAAGCTTCTAGTCAGCATTAATTACAAATTCAATTCTGTTCAGTGAGTGGCATCTCAGGTGTTTCATCTTCATTAATTAGACTCAGCATTTAAAAGAAATTATTAATTGTGCAATGTAGCTGCCTTCAGTCAACGAAATAAAGAGCAGACCTTGAAGATTCTCGCAGAAATGTTCCAAATGTGCTGTGCCAAGGTAATCCTCTAAAGTTCTACTGAACAAAGTAAAAGTGATCTCCAGTTTGGGGAGGCTGCTCACCTGCACTGCTCTGCCTGTGAGGGGTGCAGGCTGCTGGCCCCGTGGTGCACAAGTCATGGCAGAGCCCTCCAGATACCTAAATACCAGTTAAGAGCTGGAAATTTAGGTAATTTAAAACACTGCCTTTGAGTTTTTTGTAATCATTCTTTTTGCCAGTTGTCCAAGACAGCAGAAACAGCATGCCTGAGAGCCTTTAATTAACTCACTTAGTAGCTTATCTTTCTTCTTCCTGTTCAGAGCTCTAAATTTGGTGAAAAATAAGGCTAAATTGGCTTTCTATGAGTATATGATTAAGCCTTTTTGGCTTTCACTAATCTGAGCTGACAAGCCAAAGAAGCATTACTTTTAAATTGCTCCTTTAGATAACTAGTTTCAGTTCCAACATGAAAGTGTTTGATCTGTTTTCCTGAGCTTACTTGTAAGACATCATGAGTACAAATCACAAAATAAATTTAATTTTTTTTAATTTTTTATTTTTTTAATTTTTTTAATGCATTTTTCAAAACTGTGCCCCAAATATAGTCTCTCTGCACCAAAGCATTTGATGATATGTTCAAGTCAGCAGGCTGTGCATTCAGTAAATTCTAAATCTTTAAATTAGGAAGAAAAATAAGTGTCTTTAGAACTTCATGAGTTGAATGGTCTTTTTAGTCTGATATTTGGGGGCACTGAGGACATGCTGCTTTAGATGGAAAGATGTGTTTTAAAGATGGGCAGATCAGTTCATGTTTAATTAGGCACTTATAATGGAGGTTTATAAAATGTTCCACATTTTTTTGTTGTTATTGCTTTCAAAAACATATAAGAATGCATTTATGAACTGGAAGTTAATCCTGAAAATAAGTGATATAAAGAAGGAAAAAGTAATAAATTGCTATCCACATTGTGTTCAGGGGGTTGTGAGTGCTGCCCTTTTCCTCTTGTAATTAGATTAAAACTTTTTCTGATTAATGTGAACAGCAGTGAATTCTAAATAGTCTGTGTTATCTGCATGAACTGCAAGATGTAAATTACTTGGAGAAAATATTAAAAATAGTGATGATTTCTGAAGACTACTATACTATATATGGCCACAAATATTATATGTGAAAAATAGATTTTGGGAAAAGAATATAAAGTTTTAGGATTATATTCACAAACTTGAAATACACCTGTTACAACAAATTATTTTACTTACTTATATTATTTATATCTATTTGTAATGCATTTTAAGTTTATAGTAAATTTATTTTTTGATCAGTGATTGTTGCAACATCTATTTGATTAAATAAAAATGAATATTTTTCATCTTTCATACCTGAAAAATTTTGTGCAGTATACAGAAATATTAAGTAAACAAAAACCCTTAGATTCCTGAGACCACCTGTGTAGAAAAGCACATAGATTAATGTCATTTTCTATGTGAAGTCTGGGAAATATCAATTTCTAGGTTTGCTTCACAGTGTTGACCTACAGCTTCTCTCCCTAAATTTTAACAGTCAGTTTAAGAGACACTCTTGCCCGGTGTGTAGTTTGATTTGAAAATTAGAATCTGTGTTTTGCCTTGTGAATTTGTTCCTTTTGTAAGAGCAGAAGATTCTGGTATTGAATTAAGTTTTTCTTTCTCCCATTGCCTGGCACAGCCAGAATTCTCAAATGCAGCCTTTCAGTCATGCTGCAATTAAATGATAAATAGCAGTTTGAGATACAATGTGTTCCTTAAAGGGAAGTCCCCTGTGCTTTGCAAGTGGTGAGAGCTGTTCCTTAATGCAGGGGCAGGTTAAGAGGTGGATTTCTGACTTTAATTGCTTTTATGCACCATAGTTTTTCCCATAAAGGAAGTTCTTGCTAATCCTTAGGTGTACTAATAATTTAATATTTTAAAATTTGCCCCTGCATTGCTCACATGAGCTTTTCCTGCATTAATTGATTCCTACTTCAGTAATTCAAAGCTATGTGCTCACATGGTGTCAGTGAAGTTAGATTTAGTGTAACATTAATTTACAGGGCAGCCCCACAAGAAGCTGAGCATTCTGGCTCTCTGCCACTTAAACATTTAAGTGTTTGCTTAACCTTAAGTGTGAATAGTCCTGTTGTTTCAGTGTGACTGATGTATGTGTTTAGGGCTTCCCTGAGGCAGGCAGAGATTACTCAGCATCTCCTTGGAGGCAGCTCTGAGTCCAGTGGTGCACCAGGCTGCTCTAAATATGGGAGGTTTGGCCAAATTCTCTCCCTCTGTAACTTTGATCCAGCTCCACCAAAACTGATGGAATTGTGCCAACATGCACCAGCAGAGACTTTGGCCTGCAGTGAGTTTCATGATAATTTCACAGGCAAAATCACATTTGTCCTCTGCCAGGCTGCCTTTGAATATGGTGTGGTCTGTATTCCCTTCAGAACAGGGAGGCTTGGCTGGTTTTTATATGATGACTGTTCTTCCTTAAATATAGCTGGAAAATAAAAAAATAAAGCCAAATATTGCCATATTAAATATAATCTGACTTTTCTTCCTATGACAACAGCAAATTAACTGAGCTGATGCCAGAATTTATATGTTTTTTTCCTTATACACAATGGTTTCCTGTGAAAAATTTAAATTACATGTATTTTTATAGGAAAATATATGAGGATTCCATAACCCAGTGTAGAATGACTTTGGAGGAACACCGCAAAAAATACACAGAAAGTGCTCTTGCCCAGAAGTATTACCAAAAAAAGGAAGAAGTTGAAGAAATTCAAAAGAGAGTTTTGAAACGCCTTGAAAAATACAAATGGAAAGAAGATGCTTGCTTGGATATTATGGGTACTGCTATTGTCAATGCTTCTGCAATAAAGCCTTTAGGCAGTGCACTGCACATTAAAGGTGCCATACAGAAAACCTCCAATTTTCCAAAGTTTCCTTTAAGCTAACAAAATATATTCTATTTGTCACACTGTTTTTAGAAAAAAAATCTGTAGCAAATAAGAATTTAGATTATACATACTGATATTCCTTCCTCCAACCCATAAGTGTAATGGGGAGAGATTTGTCATTGAACTTCTTGGGGTAGAAATGTTCTAAGATTTCGTTAGATGGAGCCTCTCAAAATTATAAATTTAATTTTCACCACTTTTTAGTGCTGTTTTTAGTGCCATTACTGTTATACTGCAATTTTTGTTATCTATACTAAGCCAAGATGAATGCTCCTGATCTATTAATTTATCTTGTATTTGTTTAAGACAATTGATTTATTAGTTAAGATTGAAGGTAAATTTTATTTTTTGCAGAGGCTGTTCCTTTTACATCCATAAATGACTGGGCTGTACACATGTATCCTTGATTTCTACTCTTTGTTCCATTGTCAAGAAAGAAGTTTATTATTTACCTTTCACAACTTTGTTAGAAATATAGTAATTTTTATATACTTATATATTTACACATTTATACATTTATATATTTATATAGTTTTGTATTTATATAGTTTTATATTTATACATTTATATATTTATATATTTATGTTTAGAGTGGCAGCATTGGCATTTCTCTGTGAGAAAACTGGAGGTCAAATGCAGCTATTCAGTTTGAATTTATGGGAGCATTTTGGGTAAAGAATACAACATTTCATTTAATGAGATATCCATCAAAATGCTTCATTTAGGAGAAGCTTAATAGATGTTAGAGTTGAAGATTTGCCAAGGAAATGGAGATTTATCACAGCTTCCTGCAACTCTAGCATTTGTGTTATGGCCTAGAGAGGTCCAGGGTCTGATGGCATCCCTTGCTTGAAAAAATATATTGTTGTAAAATATATTCCATGACTTGGAAGTGCCTCTGTGAGGAAAAAAACACAGGAAACCTTGCAGCTTGCTGAAGCTGCTGCACAGGAAACCATCAAACTGGAAAAAGAAGCAGAAGAATTACAAACGAAAATTGACTGCTTAAAAAAGGTAACTGTATCTTAAATTTATTTTATATAAATATGTGTTATATATGTGGTTATACATAGCACTGTTACATTTTCTGAAACATCAAAAATTAGTGCATTTTCAAGCTGACAGACCAACAGGATGATCCCAGCCTTATAATTACATTTCTATAGCACCACATATGTTTTCTTGGAGAAGAGGGGGCCATGAATGTGAAGGGTCTTGCAGCTTCCTTTCTGCTGACCTCAGTTTGTGCCACACTTTCTGCTAAGGCACCTTGTCATGATGGTTTTGGGGTCAGCTCAGGAGGAGACACTTGAAAATAGATCAGGGCCACTCCTCAGTGAGCCCCAGGGCTTGAGTGTGCAGCTTTCACAGGTCCTACTGGGTTTTAAAGGAATTTTATTTAACTAAGTGTGCTTTACAATAAGAATAATGGAAATTCATTCTCTCCTTATTTTTTTCCCATAATACACGTGTGGGTATGTAACACCCAGCAGTAAAACTGGTTGATTGGCTAGGAGAAGTGTTGATTCCAAAGGGAGAATCTTCAAAATAATCAAAGGGATTTTATCAGTATAGATTTTGGACCTACTCCTCTGTAAAAGGTCTCTTCTAAGCCTGAGTAGCCCAATCTCATAAAGGTTTAATAACTTTTTATGGCATTGCATCTGGGTGCTTTACCCGTCTGTCTGGATCAGAAGATCAAGGACTCCATTTACTGCCTTGTGCTGATAGCAGCAGGTTTTGCACAGGTGGTTTTTCTGTTTATGTTCTGTCATCCTCTTTGACACTCCTGGTTCCAGACTGAAGTTCCCAATGTGGTTTGTGATGTGCAAACAGAGAGGAAGAAGAGATGTGGTGAATTTGTTTATAGCTGTGAAGGAGATCATGTGAAGAGCTCCAGGTTCTGACATTTAGACCCATTGTCCAAAACTTCTCTGTTTATTCCAGTTGTTACAGCTGACCTAACAAAAAAATATCGCCTCTTTTTAACCTTGTTTTCCTCATTTCTTCAGAACCTCTTGGCTACAGAAACTACTACTGAGCACTGATTCATTAGGTTTAGAAAACTTTTGCAGCAGGTAGCTAAAACAGTTCAAGTTTTGTCAATTTTTATGCCATTTGTTCTTTATATTTTAAGAGGTTCAAGGAGGCTAAAGAAGATCAAAATAATTCCAAAAAGATTAAAGGAAAAAATCAGAAAAATCTTGAGAAGCCAGAAGAATTTAAGGAAAGGTACACCTCAAAATTATTTTTCCCCTTTTATCCCCTTTTATTTGCACAAAGACTGCTACAAAACACATATTGTTGCTCAATAAGGACTGACAAGCTTCTCTAATCCTGGTCATGCGATTTAATAATTTAAAAAGTTTTATGTTTCTGGGGGTTAAGATAGTGACAAGTTTTGATTCTTGGAAGCTCAATGTATCTGGACACATGCTATAAAAATATTTTGTAGAAGCATTTTCTCCTCAGCTGCTGCTGAGAGATCTGTGTGAGCAGTTTTGAATGCAACTACAGTGACTGTGCAGTCAGAGATAAAATAACATTAACTCTACTAAATATATATATTTGGAAAAGGAGTCAGGGTTCCACATGTCAGTTGGCTTCACCTCTGAACTACTTAAGAAATTTAACTCTTAATTTAGTTCTTAAAAACAAGCATGAGTGAAAGTTTCATAGACAGGATTAATGGCTTAGTAAATTAGTCAGTGATCATTTACAGCTGGGACTCACTTTAATTTGAGCTCAATTACAATGACTGAAAATCACCATGAGGACTATCTTGCACTTATCTGGAGTCCTTGGGAATGTTGAAACATCTCCTGTTGAGCTGGCACTTATAGACCAGAATCCATTTTAAAGCACAAATATGTCTGAAAGACTTTGTCTAAGTGACTTTATATTATGGTGTGCTTGAAAAATAATCCTTTTAGGGCTTTAAATAGGCATTTAGTGGAACTTACCTATAAAAAAGTGTCATTTTAGTAATTCCTAAGATTTTTTTCACAGGGACCTTTTAAGTCTTTAATATCTTCTTACAGACCTAAAAATCATTTAAATGATCATTTCTTTGTGGTGTAGCCTTTGCACCCATTTTGTCTTCTCACGTAAGATTTTTGTAATTAGCAAGAACAGAAACGTGGGGAAGCAAGAAATCCCCCTAGTTTTAAGGCATGTTAAAAAAAAAAAAAGATGGAAAGCACTCTCTTTGAATTTTCAAAGAAACCCATGAGTGTTCAGTCTGCAGAACACAAAACACCAGTTAAAGACCTGCTGTAAGAAGCAGAGAGCCATGCTCTGGGTATGGAGGGGTAAGAATCCCTCAGTGAGGCTCCTTGTGGTAAGGAATCCACAGGGTGCCCAGCCAGACCTGCCATTTGCACATTTCTTGTCCTGTCATGGAGTCTGCTTGTGCCTTCACCTGAAGTTGTGTATGTTCCACAACATAAAGGATTGTAGAAAATGGCATAAAATTTGTTTCTTAATATCTTTATCTGATACCATTGTATTAAGAAAAGTCTTCACTAGAAAACGTGGAAGTGACTGCTTCAGTAATTATTGTTGTTAAAAATGGGTGTAATATGAAGCTGTAAAAAAAAAAAAAAACCAAACAAAAAAAAAGAAATCTGGAAAAAAACCACCTCAAACAGAAGCTGTGTATTGAGAAAATGAGCCATAGAAAATAAAACCTTTGCAGACTCAAAGAAATGTACAAAAATACAACAGCAGAATGTGGGTACCAAAGGCAGGAATTTCTTCCAAGCTGCCCTGCAGCCACTACAAAGTTACTACTGAACAAAAAGGTTTTTCTGAAGAAAGGAGATATCTTCATCTTCTGCCACAAAAAAAAGAAGAAATAAAAAGGAATTGTACTGTGAATCTCCATGAAGTGGTCCAGACCAGCATGAAAGCAGCAGCAGCAAGGGAAAGAGCTGAAGAGAGCAATGAAAGCACTGGGCAGAACACTGTACAGATGAACACCCGTGAAAAGCTTGGAAGGCTTCAAGACCAGAAGCCAACTTGCAAGCCCATTAATAGGTGCTGATATACATGTTCTGCCCTGGGCAGCAGGATGGCAGTGGGAACTGCTCCTTCAAAAACCTGGAACACTGTTTTTTCAATCACTAAGGTCTGGCCAGGTGCTGGTTAGGAGTGTAAAACACAGATTCCTCTGCTCCTACCAGCTCTTGTGACTGATTTACAGCTCAGCAGTTACAGTGACAAGCACCACAGCTTAATTTCTAAAGCAAGAGTTCTCATCAATCATCAAACAGGACTCAGCTCTTTTTGAAGCTCTGGTCTTGATTTCTCAATTAAATATTCAATTTATTACATAGAAAGGCTGGTAGTTGAACTGTGCTATGGCATATATAGTGTTCACTCTCTCTACTTTTGTAAAATGGTTGGGAGAGATTTAATTCTATGACTCCATAATTCTTTATTGCTTTTTTCTTTCCAATTTGGTCATGTATTAATTCCACCTCTTACTTTCCAAGTGAGAGCTTTTTGCAACATCTCAGAGAAAGGAGATTCCATGGTGGATTGTTGCAGTTCTTGCAGCATCTTTGCATCAGAAGTGATTAACTGAGCAATGAAAAAACCTGCTAATATAAATCTTAGAAAAGTACTTATGAAGTTGTTTCTGGATTTCTAATGTAAACATATATAAAGAGCCAACTCAAAAGAATGCTCCTGATGAGAATACTGAACATGGGTTCAGTAACTGTAAATACCACAGAAGGTGTCATTCTTCATCTGTATAATGAGATACACTTGATTCCTGTTGTGGAAATTAATATTAATCCTTGGATTCCTTTATGCTACAAAAAAGAAAATACTACCAAGAAGATGGTAATTTATTTTGGCTGAAGAATATCTGTTTTTGTCTTTGCACTTTAAAAAACCCCTGCAGTATGGATCAAGATAAAGAATTTTTATCTACTCAGGTGTCTACTAACAGTGAAGTAGAAAAAGAAGAAAAATTATTATTCTTGTTGCTGCAATTTGGATTGTTTTGAGCTTCATGATGCAGTTTTAGTTTTCTTCCAGTGGTATTAATTAATGTCAGAGAAGATGTGCATGGTTTATATTTCATTAGTGCTTCTGTGGAGGGAAGAGAGCAGGTGTACTGCATATGCACAGAGTTTAACTGCAGGCTCTTTTGGAAGGCTTTGTTACTTAAAGAATGAACATCTCAAGAACTTCTGAGTTTGGTTTGTAACTCTACCTTTGAAGTGTTATTCTGTATAGATATGCATTGTAAGAGGATTTTTTTATTTAATGGAGAGTAAGTCTTTAGAACTATAGTGTTGTCTGCTAGGCTTTGCAGAAGCACAAGGCAACTGACTCCAGGAACTTTTAAAAACAGAGTTTGACACCCTGAGTTCTGGGAAAAAACCCAAACCAACCAAACAAAAAAGACCCCCAACCACAACCCCCCCCTATTTATTGCAGTCTAACTGATGACCTCAGCCACAGCAGCCTTTTTTAACTGATATTTGAATGATGATTTTGGTAAAATGAGCCATTTGGAACCAAGTGGAACAGTTTCAGCCAGAGTTCTGTGCTTAGCTCTGTTTTGATTTCTCCTTGCTTTTGATTCCCTGTATCTGAATTTACAGATACACCAGGCACACACATCTTGTTTTCTGTAGTATTCATTCTTGACACACGTTTATCTAGAACTGATGCAACTGAAATATTTACTTTGGATTTTAGGTTTTTAGGTGGTAGATGTTTTGTACAGTTTGTTCAGTCTCAGTCCAGCACAGCACCAGGTATAAATGTAACTGCAAGAGAAAATAGACCTTTTCATCAGAGACACTTGGCTGAGGTGCTTTCGGGGGTTTACAAGAGCACAGTTTACACAGCTCACATCCATGTATATGAGTTTAATGTGTTAGGTCCTTATATTTAGCCAGGCTTATCACTGGTATTTTTTAATTAGTGTTGCTAATTTTACTCCACAATATCTTATAAAGTGTATCCTACATTTGATTTATTTTTGTGTATGTAGAATCTCAAGAAGAACAAAAAGACTGACTCAGTTCTTCATTTGTTCTGAACAGCATTGTTCAGTCAACTACAAACCAGATGTTGTAGCTAGAAGCACAGAGGCACTAAGCAGAAATGCCAGAGAGAAAATAAAATAGAACTCATTATTCTAAAAAATAGTAAATGTTCCTGTGCCAAACGGCCACTTTACTCTTCATTGTTCTGCTAACCTTTGTCTTTCTGCACTGTAAAGGGCTATTTACCCTACACCGATAATTACCCCACAAGTGAAAACACTTGCTGCAGTTTTCTCTTTTGTGTATGCGTAGTGTGAGTATTCCAGACAATCTCAGAGAGAGAAAAAGTGGTTTTAAATGTGCAAATGTGATTTCAGAACTACAATAATGAGGCACTTTGATTAAAGTGCAAAACTCCACAACCCTAATACTTTTCTTTGATACTGACAAAATTTAAGCCAACAATGTTCTTATGATTGGCTTATTACTCCTTTATGGCTTCTTTTTCAAAGATATTCTCTCTCTGATATTATTTAAAGAAAACCTCATTTTTGTCAACTACTGGTGCTGAAAGTGGTAGAACTTCCCTGACAGCACCCAATGCCCTTGAGAATCCCACTTATTTGAAGCAGCTATATTTTATGATTGCTTTTCTTTTGCAATGAGTAAGTTTTCTTTTTAATTTAAATTTGTTTAGGGTGTTTGAAGAGCGTGAACAGCCATCTTTGCCAAAGTGGAGACATCAGCTGTATAAAACATTGCATGTCCCTTGCATTCCTCAGAAATTTGTCCAGTCTGTACAGAGTTTTAGATTCTCAAAGCAAAGACCAGAAACAGGTGCAGTGTGTTTAATGACTTCAGTAAGCATTTTGGGTAATTTTTGTGCAAAAGAATGGTTAAGTGATGATAAGAAATCTAGTGAACTGCTCACCTATTTATAGTTGAAGCCAGGCTTTCAATGGAAGTTGGGTGCTTACCTTTTTTATGTTCTGGAAATCTAGTGTATCTGATTTCTCCCTTATCTGTACAATGAGTAAAGTAACCTGACAGATACACCCAATGTGTGGTGTCAGAAACATCTGAAAATAATTTAATCTCAAATCTGAAATACCTTTAACACTGTTTGCATTAGTACAGTAAATATTAAACAACTGTTATTTGTTTGGTACTTTCATACTTTGTGATAAGTTATTTTTTCTCTCTATTAAAAGAAAAATGTATAGGGTTTGTTCCCAAGTTCTGTTTAACAATGCCATACTTTAGATACTTAATCTTATTGACAATATTGTGTAATATTTGTAAATTTAGGGAAAGGAGAAAAAGAGAAATCAGTGGAACTTTCAGTGGTTACCAGCAGTTCCTCCAACCTTGCAGAAAATTTATCACAGGTGTGTTGCTCTCCCTCTGGTAAAAATATGAAGTTATATAATCTGTTTTATGTGGTTGTTTAAATTTAAAACACTTCAAATATACCTCATGGTATGATATCTAACATAAAACCTGTTAGCACTGCAAATTGCTAATCATGGTAATCTGCAATCTTTTGATAATGACAACAAAAATCTTTGATGCCTTTTCATTCTGAAAATATCTGTGTTCTTACAAAGCTCATTCTAATGCCGAAATCGAGGTGGACCATGTTACCAAGTCATTTTGTAGAACAGTTTTTAGCATTTAAAATCACCTTTGTAGATTCTGTATGTAGCAAATATTTGGAACTCTAAAGGAGGATCAGAACCTTCTGTTACTGATGAATCATGAACCATCCACTCCATAATGAAGGGTTTCATTAAAGGACTGAGTGTACAGGACAGCCCACAGTTAACAGCTCCATTCTGACCAGAAAAGGAAATCTGGGCTGAGAGGAATAAAACCATTAACAATTCCTTGGTGCACTGCAGGAGCCCACAGCTCCATTTTCTATCTCTCTCCCATAAGAATATAGTTACTATGACATTTTTTAAATGGTGGAGTGAATTGCAGCTTTATTCAGATACAATATTTTTTATTTAAGTACAATAAAGTAATCCAGAAGAAAGCTGGAGGTGTAACTTGCAAAGTTGTGAAAATCACCTGTAGTCTCATGGAGTGCAAGACCATTCATAGGAGCATTAGATTGTTAAAGTATTAAATGGAGAAATCAGAGGAGGTAAGGCCATAAGGTGTAGAAGAGTTTGTAACTGTGTTTCCTGTGCAAGAGCTTGGGGAAGTTTTTATCTCTAAACCATCTTTCTAAGGGATATCTCACTGGATCTATTTAAAATCAAAATTTCATGAATGAAAAAAATCGGGTAAAAAAAAGTTAGCATAACCAGATGTGATTTCTTAAGAATTTCAAGGGAACTGAAGAATGAGGTGAGCGAATCACTAAATGGTTTAGAGTGAAGTCTGTGTAGAAGACAAAGCCTTCATAACACAAAACAAGATGAAGGACAGTAACAGGACTGAGTGGGACGAGACCAGAAGAAATTGCAAGCAATTCTGATTTGTGACTGGCTTAGGGAGTTGGATGTGATGAGGATGATGGAAGGGCTGTTGCCAGGGTAATCTGGAGATGAAGCTGGCAGTCTGGGACCTAGAATTGCACTTAGACAATTGTAGGAAGCAGTAAGTCAAGGTTAAGAGAACTTTAAGAAAGGGTGATGGGAACAAGGAAAAGAAGATGGAGTCTGAGGAAAAATAAAAAGATTGGAAGAAAGAAGGTTGCTATGTTTCAGTAAAGGTGTGCTGTACACTACAGGAGTTGAATGGAGGCAGATTCTGCAGAACCAGCTCTTTTGTCCCCTACCCTGGATAGAACTCAGTTTGATACATTTTGTTAATTAAAAACAAACAAGAACTAGACACTCCCTGCAAAATAACGTGTTATTTGATGCCAAGACATGGATTCCTCACCCTGCCCTTAAGACACAAATATCTGCTGCATAGAAGAGTGATGGCCTCTGATCTGATGAAAATCTGTGAGGTTGGGAGTATTTCCATGTTTTCTGCAGTTTTTCAATCCCCACATGAGACCTGTGCGGACTGAGACTGATGTGGATGCTCAGTTGGCCTCCAGAGGCAGAGCCAGGCCTGGCCTCAGCCCCTTCTGTGTTCTCAAGCACGAGCAACCAGGCTGCAGCAGCAGCAAACCTGCATGAAGTTTGTAAATGGCACAGCACTATTGTGTTACAGAAAAGTTAATTAAACACGTCTAGTTAGCAGTGCTGTGACTAAATATTAAAAAATTACAGAATACACGGTATCATGCTGTCAAAATGTAGGTAAAATAAAGAAAAAGTTTTTACATTGTCTGATCCTTAATTTCTGGTTAAAAGAAGGGATTTCCACAGTCTAAGGAGAAATCAGAATGATATTGTTGAGGTGACAATTTCACTTGCTGCCTCACGTGAGTTTTTTCTGTCTTTTAGATGGTTATTGACACTGCAGGGACTAATCACCCACAAATTGCCCAAGTTCCATCAAGAGTGAGCATAAAAAACCAAGTGAAATTCAGGTAACTTTTCTTTAATAAAATAGCTTTCATTCTTGAGGCTGGGGTTTATTGAAATTATTCACATTTAGACAAATATTAAACTTTGTCTTTTAGACTGTCAGATCTTCCAAAGCAGTTGACTTCCAATCAACAGTTTGAGAGTGAAAATGCAGTAATGGGTAAAGTACTACAGTAATATTTTTTATAAGCTTGGATCATATAGTTACAAACTAGGAAATTCTAAGGACCAGATTTTCATTCTGACATAGAGAGGGCCACTATTTGCATTTCTTTTCCACATTGATTGTTTAGCTCAAAATTTGAGTATAGCAGACAGGCAGAGTACTAATTTAAATAGAAACTTAACTGCTCAGTAATGTGGGATTTAGTCTGCACTGACCATTGTGAATGAATAGAGCTGTCCAACACCTCTTGTAAATTCACACCTGAGTCTCAAATTGCTTAGGTAAAATGAAATCCAGTCTTAATATCTAGCCAGAAGGCACGAGAAAATGCAAAGAAATGAAATATAATAAATTTAGTAATTTAGCCATCTTGAAGAATCAGATCAAGATTATGAAAGATGAAAATTAACTGGAGAAAACATGCAGAATGCTTTCAGAAAAAAGCCAGGGTAGCTACAAATCCACCTGTAGATTTTGAAATCACAAGGAACTGAACTTCAGTTTAAATATTTCTTTTTCTAATTAAACTTCTAATTTAGATGCATGTAAAAGATTATAGCCTAGATTTTTTTACAAAGAGAACGCTGAAACACAGGACCTTAACCCACAGTGCCTGAGACATAGCACAGTCTGAAGCTTAGAGCAGAAACTCTGACAGCAGAAAGTCTGATAATGTTTCTTCTCATTTCTCATCCTGACTCTTGCCCAATTCTTTAAACTACACTTCATCACTGTCACACGGATGTGCTCTTTATTTTGTTCCCACCTGGTTTCTATTGACTATTAGCACTCTCAGAGGGTCATAGCTGGAGTAGGCACCCACAGCACTCTCAGGGAACAATGGGCAGGTTTGAAGAACACACCAAACCACAAGCAGCAGCCTGAGTAATGCTTTGACAGCAACGAGTGGCAGAACAAGAGGGAATTGTTATGGACAGAGCCACAAAGTGGGTTATTAAGAAAACCACAGTCAGAACACTTCTTTACCAATAGCAATGCCAAGCTAGTGAACTTTTCTCAAGGATTCTTTCCCACAATGTCATTTTTATGTGTCTGCTTAAAATGCTGTTATAATACAGGCAGTGCTGTCTTTTTTGTGCAGCAAGCCAGGAGGCCAAACATGTTGATGAAGAAGCAGATGAGCACATGGACTGTTCGTATGTATCTCAAGTAAGAAAAGAATTTCTTATGTCATAAGAAAGAAGTTTATTTAGAATAGTCAAAGTATTCTAACATATTCTGACATACTTGATTCAGTTGGCAAGAGGCAAGTCTCAGAAATTGGTAAAGTGTCAATTGTTGCATAACATTTTCATTAATGTGAGCTGATGAAATGTTTTGGAAAAAGTCTGCATTTAAAATTCACTTCTTGCACAGAACTATAAATAAATGGGCTCAGTGCTGACTCCACTGAGAACATATTTACAATTAAAAGGAATAATTATATTTTGGGAAATGTTGCATGTTACAAACCTCATTGTTTATTTCTTTCTAATAGGATGTGCACACAGGTTTTAAGCCAAATGAAGATAATCCTGACACAGAAGAAGAAAGTGCAGAACCTTTCTTAAGAGCACCTAAAACACCTGATTTAAAGGGGAAAACCCCATACTTCTCAAAAACACCTCTATTTGACTCGTATGATTTCAACTTTTATTTTGATTATGAGCAAAAAGTTGTACTCACACTTATTGTATAAGCATTTCTGCTCTTTTTGGATACTAGAAAAAGAATTTTCTAGAAAGCTCTTCTGAAAATACTCAGATTTTTTCCTTAGTTATGATTGATATTAATTTTCTTCCTACAGTATAATTTCCAGTTGAAGCAGTTTTGAAAGACCAGTACTTTGCTTAGAAATATATGAGACACATTGTCTTTTCCTGCAGTAATATTTGTCACTCTGATTTCTATCTTTAAACAGGCTTTTTTGTTTTTATTTGTTAAGAGGGCAGGGAGTTGGTAAGAACACCACCTCCCTTTACTTTAAAGAATTGTGTTATCTGTTCTGTGATGTAAAAAGCAATTATTGATGGAAGCTATGGATGCAAAATAGTGAAAAAAGAGGAAAAGGAAAAATAGAAGAAAAAAAGCCATCTACATACTTAGAAAACTATTAATCTGATTTGCACCTTTCTGTATTTACAGCATTCAAAATTTAGGTTGTGAAGAAGGAACATCAAAATCTCCTGCTTTCTTTTCTCACATGAACTTCTCCCAGAAGTCACCTGGCTTTAATTTATTTGATTCTTCTCTGTTTGGAGCACAAAATTCATCTGATGAGGTAAAAATGATTAATTGTGAACCTTACATTTTCACAAAGCAAAATATGTGAACAAAACTGCATTAACACTGAATGAGATTTTTCAGACTGGTTATCTTTGCAGCAAATGTTTTTTTTTTATGTCTTGGTTACTTTTAGCCTCGATTTTCTTTGAAAATATTTAATCCCTTTCCCAGCAATCCCCCCATGATGACTTTTACCCAAGTATGAATCTCTCTCATATGGATCATGTACAAAAATACAGTGACTCAATTCTCCAAAAGGCTTCTGCTTCACTGGTACAGTGCAAAATCCAAGTCCTCTAGCAGACTTCACAACTCACATGCTTCTCCTGTGTGGTTTTGTCTTGATGAAGTGAAGAGCAGTGAGAAGGGAAGAAAGGACAGTCTGTTAGGGTTACTGAACAGCAAATATGGATTAGCTACACTCAAATGGAGGAACTTGGCAGGCAGCTAAAAGGAACAGGGAATGGAATCCAGGTCTTCCATTTTCTTTGCAGGTTCCCTAGCTCCAGAGCTGTAGGGTAATTTCTCCTCTCCTGGGCTATTAGGTAGATAACTGGGGATCCAGGGTGGATGTGTGCATAGGACAGGGCTTAGGCATCCCTGGGGAGTGTAGATCCAAAACCCAGTGTGCAAATGAGGGATTTGAGCCCAGGTAGCTCCTGTTGCAGGGGGTGTGCTCAGTCTTGTGGTTACTGGCTGGGAGCTGCAGCAGGCATGAGGGAAAGCACCATTCCATTCTGGGTTTGGCAAGATACCTGTGGCTGGTGTCTCATAGCATGAGCTGTGTGTAGGAGACAGCACACAGGTTTGTGGTTTGTGAATTGTTTAGGAATGAGGTAGGTTTTCAGTCACCCAGTGCTGTCAGAACCCACATTATGTTGTGCCTGCTCAGCAGCAGAAACCAAGAATTTACCAGGCTGTAGCAGATCTGGGACTCTTTAAAGTTAGATGGGAGTTTTGAAGAACTTCAGTATCTATTTTAAATCTAAGAACTCATTTTAATGAGAGACAAGTGGTTATCCTGCTACTCTTTCTGGCAATATGAGGCCCTATTCAGTAAGAAGTATTTGCATTGTTGCTTGGAGATTTTGTAAAATGTCACAGATTTGAATAATTTTGGTTTAAAAAATCAGCCTTAAGTCAGGTCAGCTTTTGGACTGTTATCAGTCTGGGGTTTTTTTTCCCTAGAAGAATGGAGGAAGGGTGTTTGCAGCTGCATGCAAATTCATAAAACCCATTTGATCAAAGAACTTACCTTGCAACTTTAGAGACTGCTAAATACCTTTAAATCCAGATTTTGTAAAGGAAGCTAACATTCACTGTGTCAGTGTTTTTCTCACTAAAAGCAAATACATATCAGCATTAATGTTTACTTTTGCCTTTTTAATTTGTTAAATAAAAAATCTGTTTACATTTCAGATGGAGGAAAATTATTCCATGGGAAACCTGAACCCTCTGTCCCCACATGAAGATATTGGTAAGGCTGAAACTCAGATGTACTTGTGTATATCAGCTCTCTTCTGCTTGTGTTCCTGTGACTGACAGGCTCGTGATCCAGCTTAACAGAGCTCCTTTGCTTGTCTGAAAGGATGTTCAGCTGTGATAATGTAGCTCCGTGGTTTGTTGTGCTCATTTGTGTTTTTACTAAACCTTTAGTTTAAATCTTCAGCTCAAATCTTCCCTTGCATTTTGGGCTCTAAACATCTGATGTATCATGGAAAAGAGGAGGTATGAGAAAGAAAGAAAGAAAGAAAGAAGGGATAGTGTTAGGTGTGTTTGAAGCAAAATGAGAGGACTTGCAAGGGAGAGGACAAAGTCGAAGTGATCACATTTTTCTCCAAATAAGCACTTTTGCAGATTCTATTTACAAATACCTCTGTTGCAAAATGTATCATGCAGAAGTGTTTTGTTGTTCTAAACCCTCAAGTGCTCCACAGTTTATTCCATGTCAATTGTAATAACAACTCCCTGCAAATATAATCTCTGGTGCAGCAATAAACATACAACTGTAGGGTGATTCTCAGTGGGATATTTGGCACAGGATGTTAATAAAGAAGCATATGCTGAATGCAGTATTCACTCAGATTTAATCTAATAACAAATATTATATGTATTCCATACAGGAAGCTTCTTTGGGAAACCAGAAAATGAGGATGCATTTACCTTTCCCTTCCCCTCGGAATCAACTTCCCATGCATTTGGAGATGGAAAAGATGATGTTGGTTTTTCATTTCCCTTTGGACAGGATCAGAGATCATCACCGTCTCCTTCTATGAAAGGTTTTCATTCTTCCACACAAAATACAAAGCCATTTACATTCTTTTGAATACCTTTGACTTCCTTTAAATTATTTTCCTACTTAGCCTTGACAAATGTTTCCAGTTTCTTGAGTTAAAGTACAAAGCATTTCTTCTCCTTCCATTTCTTGTAAGAATACATTATTGCAATTGCTGCACTGTATGTTCATCAACCACACATTTTCAGATTTTCTTACTTATCTTTGAAATGTGTTTGTTCATAAACTGTTATTATATGCTTTTGCTAAATTGGCACTCACAAACAGAAATATCATTTTAGAGTAGAGTGTTATGTCAATGTCTGTGAGAGCATTCAGCTTCTGACATAAACTAAATTGCTTGTGTTAGTTAGAATGACTGTTGTAGCAGTTAAAGCTGAATTTGAATTAAAGACAATGTTCTTGAGAATTCTGTGTATAACAGCTGATTCATAAAATATTTTAAATAAACATTTTTGTTAATGTTATGTTAAAGTTTTGTAGGTATTTCTTAATATCTGAAGTGGAACAATGACGCAATTGTAATACTTAATATTTCTTTCCTTTTCCTTTTCCTTTTCCTTTTCCTTTTCCTTTTCCTTTTCCTTCCCTTCTGACAAAATCCCAAGGGGAGTAGAGTCACTTCCCCTCTGCTGCCCTGCAAAACCCTTAATGACCAAAATCTTGATTATCTATGCCATGTTTCTTTTCTGCCAATTTCCTAAATGCTTCAGGACTAATTTTATGCCTAGAGATTTGTAAAAATTTGATTTTTTTAAATTGGAAGTGAATCAGGAAGTTTTAGTGAAATCCTGCTGAGGTCCAGCTACTAAGAAGTGAGACACAGCTTTTCTAATCTACTGCATACCTGTCAATCTGAAAAACCTAAGGTAGAGGCAAGTTTGAGTCTCTACCTTTTATTTTACGCTGCTGATAGACATTCTGAGATAATTTAGAAACCCAAAAGTTTAATTTTGTTTGCTCAGTTATTCCATAACCAAAAATCTTTCCTGATGAATTCTGTTATCCATGCCTAAGATGCTACAGTGTAGAAGTCAAGGGTGCAGGCTGAAGTGTGAGAAGCCACAGGCCTGATTCTTGCTGGATGTTTACTGCCAAAATTGGATAGGCTGATTAATAACAAAGCAGAGAAAGCTGCTTCAGAAGAGGCAACTTCTCAGCATTTGGGATACTTTTCTGAGGCCTAATATCATGAGCTGCTTATAAACACACACTGGGATTTTTTTCATTGGTACCTGTCAAATTCCACCTAGAAATGTTCCCTGGTTATGCCAATAAAATCAATAGCAGTGGTGTTGATGGGTTGCTGGCACTGGTACATCTCTCACTGCCCAATGGCATTTTGGTTTGCCCTTTACACCCTCAGCCATGACATATTGCACCCATTTCCAGCCTGAAAGCTGAGTGAAGAGAGATTCTCTTGTCAGTGCAGCAAGGGCTGCTTGAGAGCAAACACCAGGTACTGCAGGTATCCCACAGGTGACCAGCTGAGCTGGAGCCCAGGAACCTCCAGAAGCAGCAGCAGCTGGGAGCTGTAATCCCTTAAAAGCTGTGCAGCTGTCAGCAAAGTGACAATATGGTGACACAGTGCACTTGTGCTGTGAGTCCTGGCAGGTGGGGGTGCCTTTTTGTTCTCCCCTGGGATTGCACAGAGTAAAACAGCTCAGGCTCACAGCCAAGCCCAAAGGTACTGACTGCAAAAACTCCTCTTGAATAAGCAGGGCAGGGATTGGACTTTGAATCTCATAAGACTATCCTAAGCAGAAGGTAAATGTTTATTTAGAGCCCTGATATCTTTACTGTTCCACTTAGGTTTTTAATTAAGTTTTAGACAGAAAACCACTTCACTTGAAATATTGCTTGTAAAAGCTAATGTGCCACACTCCATTAGGTTATATAAATATTATAATAAATATTTTGTGTCACTGACCTTGTAGGAAATATAGTGATACCTGAATAAATAAATTCTTTAATTTGTTGAGTAAAAAACTTTAAAGAAGCTTACTGACAAAATTTACACTCTTATCTGCTGCTGTGGTGAGGAAGACATGGATGCCTTGGTTTCCTCTCTCCCACAGAAATAACAGCTATATGGAAATGTCATTTTTCTGATCAGAAATAACATAGAGAGCATTTCTACACATTTGCCTTGTTCTGCAAAGTGGTCTTCCAGTAAAAAAAAAAATTCATTTCTAAAATAACATCTGGAGTATCATCTACTATTTTACTGATAATTTTACTGATATGTAAATGTAAAGAACATTTATAAACAGTTAGGGATATTTGGCTGATAAAGAAGCAACTGCTGTGTAAGTTTGACACTAAAAAAATAATTTAGAAACTATGAGGTAAAGACTATTGTAATGACTTCCAGGGGTTGTGGAATATAAGATTTATTTTAATGTACTGCTGTTTTATGCCTTCACCACTTTTAATAGGAAATAAGGCATTCAGGCAAACTGTTCTCACTCAAAAATCAAGTTTCATGTTCAGACCAATTTATGACTTTTCTGTAACTTCAGTCCAAGAATATCAATCTAAAGTGCATATGCCCAGCATAACACTCTGCAGGATGAATTTTGTTGTGCTGTTGTGTATAATACTTAGGGCATAAACCCACAAGAGTTATTTATATTTTATATCAGAAAAACTGTATGACTGGGGCAACTGAGAGTGTTAAAATTGCCTCTCAACCACACTGAATTGTCAATGGCAACGTGTGAATACTTTGAGGAAAACAAAAAGTTTATGTCATGACATTGTAGGCTCATCTAATTGCTCACTGATTAACAAGAGCAACCAGAATTCTGAGTTGGAAAAACTGCAGTGGTACAAATCTGGAGTTATGACCCACAGAGTAGATCAGAGAACATTGTGTATGAGTAGTGGCTTTATTTCTAGCTACATCTTTAACAACAGCACTGAACCCCACAGAAATCCTACACATCATTTCATCCCCAGTCTGGGCTGTAGGAAAAGAAAAAAAATGGTTTGAATTTTTCATTTCAAGACCATGAACATAATTAAAACTTCATGTTGGGAGTAACAGGACATCTCTGCCTGTTTGTGGGTAAGTGCAGGCTTTGGGGGCAGGGGCAGGTGAATCACTGCATCCTAAGAAAACAATCTTACACTACAGCATTAATACGTTTAAGTATTTCAAGGAAATAAGCTTTAAGTGCTACATATTGTAACAGATTGGAATGTGTAGACTTACAGTATTAGATGGTCATAATCCCCCCCGTGCAAGGCTGATTGCAGGGGTAGCAAGAGTTGGCTAATCCTTTTGGGCCAATGGCATAAAACAAGGATTAGTTTTTCATTTACTGCAACTGAGTGGGTCATTAGGATCCAAAGACACTAATGAGCCTGAACAGGCAATTGGATTCTGGTTTCAAAGTTATGGGCTAGTTTGAAAGGAGATTGATTGTGTCTTTTAATGATTTAAAACATGATGTTTTGGTGACCTTTTGCCTGAGAAAAATGAATGAAGGATGTAACGGTGCAACACAAACCTGGAATGCTGACTTTTTTCCTCCTGAGACTTGAGTTGTTGCCAGATTCGTTGCCTTAGAGGCTGAATGGCTCATTTAGAAATATCTCTGTTGCCTTGCTTTTATGTTCTGCTCTTGATGTCTCCAGAGTTGACACAAGTCACATGCAATCAAGTCTGTATTCCTGGTGGACAGGCACTGTCCTAATATTCTCTGACTCACACCCAGGTTGTTTGCAGCTCAGCAGTTCTGCTTCCAGACACATCACTTTGTGTTCTGATGCTAACATCTTGCTGAGAAATTGCCTCTTGGCACGTTGTTTCTTGGATCCTGTACCTTGCTTGATTTGATGTGAAGATGATGCTCTTTTTAGCACTTGCAACACGTTACCTTTGGAAAGGTAAATCTTTGCCCCCACCTTGCTACATCACAGATGTTTTTCTTTTCAGGAATCACTTGAATTCAGCAGTGATAGGTAGCTTCTTTTTGGTTCCATTCAAATTAAGCAAGGGTATGAAAGAAATATCACAAGATGCTGATACCATGCTAATAGAATGTTTAGACACACAAAAAAGGAAATACTTTGACTGTTATGACTCCATAGGAGAATTAGTGACAAAAATTTTAATAACATTAACTTAATTTTCTGTATCATATCACAATCTACAAAGCATCCATAAAGTTATTTCATACAGCACAGGACTTGATCCATCATCCTTTGAGGCTTGGCTTGGGGAAGGGAAAGAAGTAGAGGATCAAGTTACAAAAAGTCCTTGCTAGTGGGGAACCAGCTGTTGTGACTGGTGGGAAGCTTGGAAGCTGACAGTCCAGACTGAAACTCAGTTTTGAGCCTGCAGTTCTCATCTGCTCCCTTCTGCCAGAGCAGGACTGCCTTGAGCTAACTGTGGTCTCTTGCTGCTCTCTTCTTTTTCTTGAGGCACATGTGTGCCAAATTTAACTGTTTCCACAAAATTCCTGATGCTGTGGTCAGTGATGCTGCTCACTGCCACAGCTGCAATGGCTCCTGACCAGAAGTTATGGGTAAAAAGTGGTTAAAAATGTTTCTTAATGATTACAAAACCACTGGAAGTGCTGTTTCCATTGCATTCCAGGGAGGTGCCAAGCCTCTGAAGCACTCCAGCCATCACCCAAGCAGTAAAATACAATTTCAAATCGTGCCACATGGACTTAAAAAATCCCTGGGCACAATACATTCTTCAAAGTTTTTTTTTTCCCTTGGTAATGAGCACCACTGCTCATGTATCTCACTCTACATACATTGAAGGAGTTATCATAGGCAGTTGGTTATTTCTTTTTCTCCCTTACAGATGGAAAAGGCTCTTGGAAAACATGCAGGTTGTTCTCAGTATCATCTTTAGTGAGGAGGTGTTAAACCAAGGCCTGAACACCTCTGCTCAGTGCACACCCAGTGTTGCCACTGCTGCTGTTTTGTTGAAGGAGAGTGATGCAGATCCATGGTTCTTAGACTTTTTAAAATTTTTCTTCTTGACCAAATACTTGTGACTCCTCATCAGAAACTAAAGAGCAGTAGGATTCTGATAAATAAAAGTATATAAATCACAGAATTACCTGGAAATTAAACCACGGAATTAAATTACATGGAAATCACCACTGAACTTCAGGGGTGCTTTTGAACCCAGGTTGGCCATCCAGCCAGAGCACTTAAAAAAAGCTGGCTCTGTGAAGCAGGTCATGACTTCTTGTAAACCTCACTTCATCTGAGA